AGCGTTGACAGAGAGGAGAAGGTAGAAATGACTCAGCCTGTAACTGAAAATATGGATGGAGGACAACAGTTTAGCTTGTTTGTCGCACTAGCATCGAGCTAATACATATAAGGCAATATAGCGTCAGTGCTAGCCTGAAGGCTAACAGGCTAAGCTGAGGTTCTTCTTCCATGAAGCAGTTCTGTTGTCCTCCTAAATATATTTTTAAAAATGTACAAAACTAAACAGCCTACAATATTTTTACAGTCTTTATTTTACAGTTAAAACAAATGTTTATCAAAAAAAGTCAAATGTTACAACTAATCGGGGATCCATTRAAATGTTCTGCAAACAGGGTTGACGTTAAGAGTTAATGATAAAAATTTATGCAAACATCTTGTGCAGTAAGTTAGAGTTTGTGTCGTAAATTACTCTCAGCCACAACCACACCAAGTTGTAGCTCAATATATTTAAAATTGACAGAATTACGACTGTTTTTGTTTTCTAACGTGAGTAGGCTGTGGAAACAATCCTTAGCTGGGCATTCTGTCATAGATGTACATCCTGTGATTAAAAGTATTTGTTTAATAAACGCAAAACATCTCACGCGTTCTGACTTTTTAAACAAAAAATAATAATAATTGTCTTAATTTAAAATTACTTTTATGCTTCTTTGCTTTRGTCCTCATACCAGCCAACAGCGGCCAGTCGATCTCAGCAGCCTCCGTGGTTCTCACCACCGGTACTTTCTTGTCCGGCTCCCTCTTCATGGGCCAGACCACGTCCCCCGGGGGGCGGATCGGCGACGCTCCGTCGAGCGCGGGGCTGTCACACACCCTGAGGGAGAGGCTGGGCCTGAAGGTCGGCAGGCTGAGGACCGGGACCCCCCCGAGGATCCTGAAGGACTCGGTGGACCTGTCCCTGGCCGAACTGCACCCTCCTGACAGCTGTCCGACACCGTTTAGCTTCATGAACACACAAACACGCTGCAAGGTCAGCTTTACTATCACACGCAGAGCCTTCAGGAATGCCAGGATTTTGAATTAAAGTTTCATTGCTGGTGTTGTGTTGATAAATATTTCTTCTTATCAGTGGTGATTCTTATTCTGAGGGTTTTTGTTTTGAACACCGTGCAGCCAGAGGAGCAGCTGCCTTGCTACCTGACCAGAACCACTCCTGGTGTGGAGAAGATTGTGAGGGAGAGTCTTCATCTTAACTGCCACATACAGCAAGACACCAAAGGCCCCAGGTACACACACACACACACACACACACACACACATACAGACGTAAACCAGATGTTGAGATTTTAGGGGTCACTCTGTGTGTTTCTCTGGCAGATACTGTCCTTCCATCGAGTCGAAAGTGCTGCGTTTTTCAGGTCGAAGTCATCAGGTGTGGTTAGAGCCCGAGGGGCTGACCTCTGACCTCTTATACCCTCAGGGCCTGTCCATGACCATGCCCCCCGAGGTTCAGCTCCGCCTCATCAGAGAAATCCCTCCCTTGCACAGAGCTGAGATCCACACACCCGGTACTTCCTGTGTGACGTGACAGAAAAAAGCTAAACCTCCATCGTGTCTGATCAGKAGACGATCCCAGTTCAGAACTCCAGCATACGAGGCGGCGGGCTTTAATTTGARGTCACGTTCCTTTTGTTGTCCAGGTTACGGTGTACAGTACGACTTCGTGTGTCCCACCCAGCTGAGCCCTTCGCTGCAGGTGAAAAACACCCAGGGCCTCTTCCTGGCGGGTCAGATCAACGGGACAACGGGCTACGAGGAGGCCGCAGCACAGGTAGCTGCTTTCCCGAGGCTCAGAAAATTGTTACGGACTGGGAGACGCCGTGTGGATGTCCCATCATGCATGGAGACATTACAGAGGTGTACAGCTGGAGTTTGTAAAGCCAGGCCAGTTCAGTCCAAGCACAAACCTCCAAACTGCTGCTAGTGGATCTGAGGTGTTCAGGAATTCAGCCACATCTGGTAAAGTCGTTCCTGAAGGGGGATTATTTTCACGTGTCAGCACTTAGGAGATGGTATTTTCCAGGTTTAAAGGGTCAAACTTGGTTTCTGTTGCTGGAAAAAAGGCATAGTTCATATCTTTTAAAATCGAGGTTTTGTGGAAAGCTTATGAGCAATCATTTTCTTATTTGTTGTAGGTAGATTTTTGGGTAACGCTTTCTTTTATGGTATCCTTACTACATGCAATTACAAGTTAATTAAAAAAATGTAATTAAATGTAATTACTACATTATTACCATGTAATTACGTGGTACTTAGGGTACAATTTTACTATGTAATAAATTGTCTGCAGTAATGTAGCACTTACCTGGTCATGTATTACAATTCACTATGTAACACCTAAATAAGTAGTAGGTAGTAGGTCATTTGGACAGTTTTAAAGTTATATTTTATTGCAATTAACCATTAACCCTAAAATTTAGTTGCATTCTTTTGGTTCTAAATATAGTGTTGAGTTACTTTTGAATAGTAATTTGATTGTAGTTACCCAATGAAGGTAGTTTTACTAACAGTAGTTTTTCTTTTGTACCATAATTACCACGTAATTACATGGTAATAAGGTAGTAATTACCATTTAATTACTTTTTTATTACCTTGTAATTACATGGTAATAAGGGTACCATAAAAGAAAGCGTTATTGATTTTTGAACTACCTCAATTTGGACACAGTTTGATTTTGACGAGCCAACGGCTATTCCAAGACCAAAATGGATTGCCGACTTTAAATCTTACATTAGCTGGTTTTTTTACACAGAAGTTTTGAGATTATTTACATTAGTCACCAGTGATGGTCCAAATGTAACATGTTAAACAGGACATGCTAAGTTCAATCATTTGTCCAAACAAAATGAGAATATTTAGTTTTTAATTGTCAACAACTGGTCATTGCTGCTTTGAAACATGGTGGCGCTATTTTTCTTGTCCACACAGAAACAAAGCGACATGCTCCCGTAGTGAAACCTGTTTTTGTGGGTTTACAGGGGCTGTGGGCAGGGGTGAACGCCGCCCGCAGGTCACTCTCCATGCCACAGGTGGCACTGTCCCGAACAGAGAGCTACATCGGAGTTCTCATTGATGATCTGATAAGCCGAGGAGTCACGGAGCCGTATCGCATGTTCACCAGCCGGGCTGAGTTTCGGACCTTGCTGAGGCCGGACAACGCCGACCTTCGCCTCACATTGAAAGGTAGTTACGAGGAGAGTAATAATAATAATAAAAAAGATCCGGCTCCCTGTTTTCCCATCGAACTCTGTTCCTCCTGTCAGGGTTTGAGTTGGGATGCGTGTCGCCCTCGCGCTACCAGGAGGCAGTGAGAGTGAAGAACAGCCTCCGAGATGCAATGGCTGCCCTCCGGGCGGTCAGTCTGTCCTCCACCCACTGGAGGGAAAGGCTGCCTGACATCGGCCTGAGTGAAAACAAGATGAGCAAGCTGACGTAGGAAACGTTTAAAACCTTCAAGCGTCTCAGCTTTTATTAAAAACCTCTGGTTTCTGTTTCACTCCAGCTTCTTTTCTATTTCCAGTGCAATGGAAATCCTTCAGCACACGGACACAACGTTTGAAATGCTGGCGTCTGTTTTCCCAGAGTCCTTTTCACCTTACATGGAATTTGCACAGAGACTCAGGATAGAGGGTAAAAATAGACTTCTATAACATTTCCAAATGATCCGACAGCTGAGTGATTCTTCTGCATAACCTCAACATTCACTGTTTCACAGCTGTGTACAAGTATCTCTGTGACATAAGCAGGAGGGATATTAAGAGAATCCAAAAGGAGGAGAACATGTCTTTGCCACAGGATGTCGATTACTTCTCTTTGTCGTCTCTGTCTATGGAGGTCAGAGAGATCCTGGACAGATATCGACCGAGCACAGTGAGTCTCTCACACCGCAGTGATCCTGTTTCTCTTTATTCTTTGTATTTTCTTCCATTCCCTTTCTGGACATCTGTATACTTCCTGATATTTTACCCATTAAAACGACAAAAGGTTCAGCTTATTCACGACATTTCAGCTATGACTTTAGGTTTCAGTAACTTTCCAAAGTATTCAACTTTATTTATAAACATTTTTCTCAAAGACATAATATTTCATCCATTCATTCAAGAACATTTTCTTCTTTAAAATCTAAGTCGGCATACTTGATAGATATTTTTTATTTTGCTTATTTTTACTTTGAGCTGATMTTTTGCTACTTTTAGCTTTRAGTTAGCATCTTGCTAACTGACGCTAATGRTTTGTTATTTTTGGCAAATTGTTTTGATGTTTTTTTTAATTTAGCCTTTTTACTTTTTTAAATTTTCTGCGTTGAGCAAGAAATTTGCTTCTTTAAACTAATGTTTTGCTTCTTTTGGCTTTAACAGTTCCGTTTGAGCTTCCTTAGAAAAACTCTTCAATCTTTCACGGTTTTCTTGCAGAAAGTGCAGTTAGTCTAGTTTGGTTTGTTTTTTTTAAAACGGCTGGACTTGAATTAATTTTGCTCACTGTGTTCTGTCCTCCCAGCTGGGCGCTGCTACTCGCTTGGAAGGCATGACACCAGCTGCGATCCAGGTTCTCTTCCAATATGTGTCCATTGCAGAGAAACAGAAGGAAATAATGCAAAGACAGCAACAAAACCAGAGCGAGGACAAAGAGGACCTGTGTGCAAGAAATGTTTCTTTACCTCAGTGATAGATGCATTTACAATGTAAAAAAAAAACTATGTATTCTTGTAAAATAAGTAAATAGAAAATATTCCATGACAATACATCACAGTTGTTTGCCTACTGCTGAACAGAATGACTTGTTTAGTAAAGTAGTTTYAACCAAATAAAACACATTAAAGTCACTGAAAGTCCTCAGTGCTCCCCTCTCGTCCATCAGAAGCTACGAGGAGAAGAATTCTAATCCTGTTAGCAACAAGACGATGAGCAGCGTTAAACTCCTCCTGACCTCCTCGGCACCGCTGRCGTCAGGAACAACGTGGCCGTCCAGCTCGGCGGCGCCTCTCGTAAAGAAGCCGAACGGAAACTTCCAGCGGGGCCGAGGCYAACCTCGGGGGGTTTCTGGGTAAACTGTGGTGTCGACAAACATAACTTGAGTGGTCAAGGTGAGAGGGGACGATAAGGGGCACTGGGAAACAAAAACAGGAGAGTTTTCAACGCTGGATAGAGAGGAAATGTTTTGTTTTCAAAATAAGAGCACTTGTTTGCATACCTTGACACTTTGACACAGGAAGAGAAATTTGCCTCCCAGGATGAAATTCTGGGGACGCTCGGTGAAGCCCCGACGAGCCCACAGCACTTGGATAGAGAGGGAGTGAGGGAGGAGGCAGCCTGAGTCGCAGGTTTCCTGAGAGAGGGAACGAAGGAAAACCTGAGCAGAAGCTTCATCTGATCTATTCATAGTGATCTCTTCATTCTGCAGCCGCACACCACTGAAGGCGAAASGGTGATCATGTTTTTGCCCGTGTGTCTGCGTGTATMTGTTAGCAAAACATTTCAAAAACCACTAAATTTAACGAAACATAAAAGTAATAGCTGAAAATCTACGGACAACTTATTAACTTCTGGAGCTAAGCGACCTTAGAAAACAGAAGTGGCTACAACTCAGTACAGTTATTGAGCTGAAGTTTTATTTGGCAGTAGCTGAGAGTGATCTTCAACATAAACTCTGAGTGCTAACAAGAATTTGATCGAATTAGATACAACACATCATAACACGATTTTATGCCAGGTTCACACGGCAAGATAACTGTGCTGATTTTTGACCCAATTTTGCCTTCCAGCAATCTTAAGGACGCTCTGATTCTTATGGTGGCTCTAAAGATAATCTTAAGAGATATTCCTGCCATGTGTGGTGTGTTAAGAGGGATGTAGCTGGCTCAGAAGGACCTCTCCGACCTCAAATCYAGGATATTCAGTCAACATGTTGGATTGTCTTGGCTCGATATCCCAGAATGTGTGTTCAGCTTGTTGAATGTGATGTGTAGCCAACACGAAGGGGAATTCAAAGACAAAACAACTGCCACGGTGCACCGGAGAGTCTGGTGGATGTCGGAGACGTCTTTTTGTCTTTTTTTTTTTTTGTCTGTTGAAAATAGTCCATAAACTGTCGACGTCGCTTCTTCCTGGTCCGCCATGTTTATTTACTCTGAACTCATGTTTGACCTCTAGAGGTTTTGCGAGATTTCCCGTCTGARCTGTGAATGTTGGTGAGCAGGGTTCCCGCTAGGGGTGTAAGAAAATATCGATACACTGAAATATCGCGATATTTCATTTCCCGATACTGTATCATATTCTAAAGCCCTGTGTCGATTTTTAATTAAGGTTTAAAATGTCAACTTTCCTGCCAGCCGTTAATTTTTATGTTGTAGTTCAGCCTCTGACCACTAGTTGGCAGCAGTGAGCCAGCCATTTGGCTCCTCTACCTGTTGAGGTAGAAGCTATTGTTAAG